ATAAGACGTGCGCCCAGCACACACGCACCAAGTAGCCCCGGACAGCACAGGTTTGTTTGGCCCGTGCAGGCACGGGTTTGGCCTGTGCAGTCCACTTACTCAAAGGTATTCTTCAATGAATACACACCGTGTTGTAAACGTATTTTCTCATCCTTATGATTCTCAGTAGCATTTTCCCCTCTCTAGCTTACTTTATTGTACGAATACAGTATGTCATACAGATACAAAATATCAGTTATCGGTGAGGCTTCCAGCTAACAGGAAGCTATTAGGCGTTAAGTTTCGGGGGACTCAAGGTTACACACAAATGTTCAACTGCACAGGAGTTGGCACCCCTAAGCTCTGCTCGTTCAAGGGTCGACTGGCTATGTTACGGCAAATGAAGAGGAAAAAAAGATTATACGTATCCTTGCTCCTTCTCATGCTCTTTTGAGAAACCATTCCACATTCCTTTCTACAGTATACAAACTTGCACAGGAGAATCCATTCTGAAAGGTATATCCACTTCCCAAGTTCTGATCAGAAATGATATATGACTCAAAAGCTTCTCCAAATCCGGCGATCTGACAAAATTTTTTTATGAAACCCACAAGAAACAATGTAGTCCTGGAATCCAGGGAGAGGACAATTCTGCGCGGGTTGACACGTGACCACAGTAAGAACCGAATGATACTAATCCACACAGTGTTCTCCACAGAAGGAAAACGATATTTAACCCAGTAAAGCACCTTTTCTATTTCATTGTGAAATGTGAATTGCGCCTTACCATTGACTTAAATACCATCTGAAAAAACACTGCTTAAATGAACTTATTAAAATCCAAACTATAGCTCAAGAAAAATTAAATGTTTAAAAATATCGCCTTTAAAGGAAATTTTGAAGTCTGCTTAAAATAGTCACACTAAACCTTTCTGTACTGGCATATCAGCTCCAGATGAAAATGCAAATCTAGGCCGTAATCATATTATCTTCAGCAGCACTGAACAGGGTGTTGTTTGGCCACGCTCATCTTATAGCACTTATTGTAAAATTGTGTAGCCCGTGGGAGCAGACTCACTCATTTAGAAATCCAGCACTCCTCCTGTCTGGAGCCCGCTGCCCTCTGGAAAACTATTAATAGCCGCACTGGCCATCACTATCATAACAAGATGCCAACCACAGACCCCTTCGTGGTCTATTATCATTATCATTCAAATAATCCTAAACTTCCCCAAACTGTAAAATTCAACACACCACTCAACAAAATACACAAAGCTGTTGGCTAAACAAAAAAACAGAGGCAAATTCCATTGTAAATTATAATGTTGGGATAGCTACCTGCTTTGTACAGGAGTCAAAACTTCTCAACATTCAAGAGGCAGGCTAAAAAAAGGTGGGGGCAGCGAACTGCACTTTTATATGTGAACATGGATCTTCATCACTGATACATGCTTACTTGCAAAACTGTAAATACTGTATGCATAAAAACTGATTAACTATAGAAGACTCCATACCAAATAAAAGCTAGAATATAGTAAATCAAAAGCCACGCTGACTAACCTATAACATTAACCCTATGAATCAACTGTATGTTTTTTTTATATATAAAAGGCCCATCTCATCAGTTGCAGTTTCTAAGATCATATTTGTGGTAAAATACAGTAAGACAGAAGGGGAAAGAAAGAGGAAGAAAAACAACCCACTACAGGATGTTGACAAGTGTTAACGACCAAGGTTTTAGAATGCATTGGTTAGTTAGCACACCACATATCACTAAAATAATGCTCCAGGTTCCTCCAGCACCAGGTTACTTTGGCTTTCAATTTTAACCTACTCAAGTAACAAGAGTCTAGCGTTACAGAATACGCATACCCTAAGCCCTCTTAGAAGAAAACCTGTGTACTTTCTAGTCTCGATTACCAAACAAAACAATTCTTCAACCCAACTCAATTGTTCTCCAATTTCATTTGCGCAGATAACAGATTTGCGGTCTCTCCTTTCATTACAACTCCATGGACTGTGGCCCAGAGATACCAACTATAGGGCAAAAAGTTAAGTAAAATCCTGATATTACGTCTGGGGTACATATTAGGTCTGGAACTATCACAGATCCCCAGAGATACTTAAATTTACAGACCTACCAAATGCCTACTTGCCAATCACCACTAAACTCATACTAGGTTTTCAATATTTTTCATTTATTCTAATGACTACTTTTTAAAAAGTATTTCTAACAGACTTCATGGAAATATTTTAACTGGTGCTCACAAACGGAATTAGTAAGAATGCAAATGCTATCATAGTGTTCACTACACATGCCAAAATAAATTCAATAAGGTTAGGTAGGATTCTGCCTGCCTTGTCTGCCTATAACCCCACTGCCTGGCATCTAGTAGATGCTTAATAAATACTCATAAAATGAATGAAATCTTACAACAAAATTCATGGAACAGCCTCAATTCAATGTTAACAGAATTGCGTTAAATCAAGAACTGCTTAAAAGAAAAAACATTTGCTAATAAGACTTGTGAAGCTTCTAAACCAGAGGTATCAAACTCATTTTCACTGGGGGTCACATCAGCCTCATGGTTGCCTTCAAAGGGCCTAATGTAATTTCAACTCCTTAACAGTTAAGGAGTAGTTACATTTATACAGTCCTAAAATTCTTTTGGCCCTTTGAAGGCAACCGTGAGGCTGATGTGGCCCCCGGTGAAAATGAGTTTGACACCCCTGCTCTAAACGGTGCTATTGTCGTAACGAGATTTAATCTATACCAGAAAATCAGACTGACAGTTAAAATCAATTTTAAGAGAGGCCCACAATTATAAGTTTCTGTAACATAGCAAAGAGAAGTTGCATTTTTTAAGATGAATGACTTTACTCTCTATCCCAAAACCATGGTCAATGAAAGTTACAGAATTTTGGAGGGAGAAAAAAATCTTTGAGCCTAAACCATGAAACATATGGATTCCAATTTCAGAATATCAACTGCCACAAATTTATGGAAACATTTTTGCATAATTATATACCTACAGAATTTTATGCTACTTTTTCTGGCTATGCTAAGCAGTTGGCTTGAGTTAGAGAAATTATAACTGATGAATTATCATTCTCTTCCATTTTTATGACTTTCATCTACTGGAGGGGGAAAAAAATCAGGGAGGAAAAGATTTCACTTTGTCAATTTAAAGTCCCTCTCATCCCAGTTTTCAGTGTTCTCTACTACTTAAACCAAGTTTTCCCGTGTTCCCATCCTTTTTTCTGACTGTATAATAGCCTTTTTTATTTTATTCTTATTATGGATACCTTTACTGTAGCCAAGTCTTATTTCCCCAAAGGTATTTTAGAAGGTACAAAGGCCTCCCACAGTGTTCCCCTGCCCTGCCATTAATGCAGCGCTTGATGACTCCGGTGTCATTTGTCTCCCTCATCTAATGTGAGTTCTGTTAGGAGTCCAGCTGTATCTCTCTTGTTGGATACTACAGAGCAGGTTCTAAGGAAGTGTTATTACAATGAGTGAATGAATGACTTGGAAGGCTTTATAAAAACTCAGATGCTATTTACAGCTCAAACTTGAAAACTTGCAAATAATAAATTCAGGAGCAAACGACACTATCCAATACACACAATTAGAGAAGGTGCTAAAACACACATCCAAAACACTTTATTCAAGGGGCATACAATTACAGAAGATTCCTTAGGATGAGTTTCCAGTATTGCATTACCATCTCTGTGAATGATCTCAAAAACCACTGCTAAATGACTTCACTGTCTGGAGATTCAGTTTTTCTCCCTGTTCTGAGAATTTAGAAATTAACATACTGAAATAATGAATGACTACTCGCTAAGGGCCTTACAATAATCTTTTCAAAGATGGGGCATGTGGGGGGGGGGTGCTATTAGGGAAAAGTCTTTAATACAAACACGTGAAAAGCAATTTTCCTGTTAGTTGTAAAAGACTGGAAAATTTTCACCGCGACCTCCCTCATTTTCTGGTCACAGAGTAAGAACTGGAAATCGGAAAATGTGTAACACCTCCATGCGCCCTGCGACAGGAACTACGAAGGAAGAAGAGAATCACAACTGTGGGGACACATGTATTTCCACATGAAAGCAGGAAGTCCGTTTCTTGAGCTTGGGTCCAGCACCCCAAATGGGAACACCGACCTCTGAAAGCCCACCCCAACCCCCCAGTCCCCTCGGACTCTAACCCTGAAGCCAAAGCCAGCCTATCCGGAAAATGCGACTTGGCTAAGCTGGTGAGAGGAGGAGCAGCAACGAGACTCCGGACACCTTCCTCTTTCTATTTGGCCTGCGGCGGGAGTACACTGCTCCGGTTTTCGCCAAAAGAGGAGGAGGCGGGCCAGACAGAGTCGGCAGCGAGGAGAAGCCTTGGCGGAGAAGGAAGGCGGCTTGTCCACGCGGCCGCAGAACTCACCGAACAAAGCACAGCGCGGGCCGGGTGGAGAGACGGGAAATAAGGGGATAGATTCACCCCAGCTCTTCACCACCGCCTGGAGCTAGAGACAGGTGGAGTCGAGCTCCTCCTTAAAGGGAAAAGAAAGACGGGCTTTCGAGGGGCTGGTCTGAATTCCAGCGCCCAGGCACCCGGAACCGAGACCCCGCCGGGGAGGACGCTCGGGAATTAAGGGATGAACGCTGCAGAGTTAAAGGAAGAGAGGTGGGGATCGAGGGAGGGAGGACGGGCCCTGCGGGGGTGCCAGAGTCTGGCCCCAGCTGTGCCGAGGATACGGGTAGCGAGGATGCGCGTGGCACGCCGGTGGCCCCCACTCGGGCCTCTTCGGCTCGCCGCTGCCCGCCCCCTCGCACCCGCGCCCAGGACGGCCACACAAAGGGGATGGAGAGGAGCGCCAGCCACTGGGTGGTGGATGGGCGCCGGGGCTGGGATGTGGTGGCCGGACCGCGGCGCTCGCCGCGCCCCCGCCTTTGTCTGCCTCGCTCCGCGCCCCCCCCCCTCGGAGGAGCCCCGCCACCCGAGGCGCCCTCACCCTGCTCGTTACCCGGGTGAGTAGCGGTCTCATCTGCTCGCCGGCCCCATCTGCCTCCATGGCCGGCCGGCCAGCCTGCGACGGCCGCTACGGTGTTGCCCCGCGCGGTTCGCCCGCCGCCGCTGAGACCCCAGGACTCAAGGGGAAACGAACGTGTGTCCGTGCGCCCGGTGCGCACGCGTGGGGAGAGCCTGGTGCGCGAGATGCGGAGAGCGCGTGTGCACGCAGCGGCCGCAGGACTGCCTCTCGCAGGACAGCGAGGCCGCAGCGTGGAACGAGGAGTGAGAACTGAGAGAGGAGCCGGACAAGGCGGTGAAGGAGGAGGGAGCCTTGTAGAAACCCAGGGGCGGGACCGCAGCCCGTGACGCTTAATGCCAGACCCCGCCCCGACAGGCCCACCGCCCCGCCTCTTGCGTCACGCCCCCTGCCAGTTTGGCACCGCCAGCCTCCGCGCATCCGCTGGCCCTGCCGCGAGGCCACTCCGGGGTGGGGCGGGAGGGAGCAGGACGGGCGTTTGTCCCAGCCAATCGGCGGCTCTCGAGTTGCATTCGCGTGTACCCCACACACAAACACCCCCTGCCACCTCCTTTGGAGGCCCCGCCTCTCTTTGTAAAATGCTAAATGACCATAACTAAATGTCTAACTTGTTTTTCTGGTCGGAAGTTCCCCTGAAGTTTGGAAGCGGGCTGAGGGTCACCACCGTCCCTAGCTCCTAACCACTTTCTTTAAAGAAAGGCAGGAGGGAAGAAGGATGCCACCCTTTTGGAGGACGCTCACTGGAACCCCAAAGAACCAACGGGTCTTCGGGACTCTTGCAAGTTTTTTTCACCCAGTTCAGTAGGCATGAACCCCAACTCCAGGCCTGGGAAAGAGGGAGTACTCCTGACCAGGTGTGCTCTGGGCTCACCCCCTTGACCAGGCACCACGGTGGCTTCCGTACAATGTGTCTCTCAAATACACACAGCTCTAACAGGAGCTGATGGTACCTACAAACAGGGTCGTTGAAGAATTAGGTGCATTTCAATCCATAAATGTGCCTGACACGCAGCATGTTTGTTACAAGTATTATTAACAGAGTGAGGAGCTAAATCAGTACTTTGGACGGAAATTGTATTACAGCAGATCTGGATTGCATATCCTATTTATCTGCAATAGGATATTAATAAAGCCTTTGTCAGAAATAGTTAAGGATGCTGGTTGAGTCCTAGACCCCTTTTGCTCTAATTTCCCGGAGTTACTTAAAGGCTGGCATACATTATTCTCTTGTGTAAGAGCAAATGTGCTTCTATTATAATAGCTACCATTTAAAGAGGCCTACAATTAGCGACTGTGACATTCTGCGAACATGCTTCATCTCTAGTCCTCGCAATACTCCAAAATATGTTTTATTACCTCCTCTTGACAGAAGAGGAGACAGAGCCTCACAGAGATGACTGGTTTTAGATCCTAGTTAGTGGAACTGCTCTTTCTAATACTTCACTAAAGAAAGTTGAACAACAAGGAAAGAAAACCTGAGAAAAGAATGAAAAGGAAAGAATATGGAGTGAGAGGGGAACTGAAAAAAAAAATGTTTAAATAGCCTCCTAGATTTGTTTCAGGTACCCATCACTCACACTCATTTCATCACTAAGGTGAATATGATTATATGGAAGAATTAGCTCTGAACTGTCTTACGATGCAGTTCCCCTACCACAAAACTAAAACTAGTTTACACAGAACACCCTCTATTGTGTTTCTCTGCTTTACGTTTCTGTGCGGCATTTGTCCTCTTGTCACGGTCTGTATGTGTTACGTTTTATTATGCTTACTGTCTGTACACACACACTAATGCAAGCTCCATGCAAGCAGCAATTTCTATGTTTTGCTTGCTGTTACTTGCTAGCAATCCTGGAAGAGTGCTTAGCCTCAGTAAACTCTCAGTTAAATGTTAAATGCATGTTTTGGGAGTAGACATCCTTTAGGACTTAAGAGCATTCTAGGTAGCAGCTAAGGATATGGCCAAAGTAGTAACCAGAACAAAATAGGTACCAGACCTTCGCTGCCAGAGTCGAAAGAGCTAAGTAGTCAGATTCAAGGACTTAAAAATATATGCTTGCAAGACCATGCTGGAAAATAAGTTTATCTTATCCATGTTGTGAAAGGAGAAAAAAAAAAAGCCCTTGGTTTATTTAGTCCACAGTTGTTGTTGTTGTTTGACTCTTGTGTTGTCATGTACTTTTTCCACTCCTGGCTTCATCCCAACAGCTAGAAAAATAATGTAGCAAAGGTCTGAATTATAGAATTTATTACTCTCAGTTGCCCACTTAATTCAAGCTCAACCAGAGTTCATCCTGGGGTAATGGTTGTGAGTAAAGAAAATAATGTGTTAAAATTGCTTTCATGGAAATGGAGATGGCTATAAAATGTCCTAAGGTGCTGAAAGGCAAAGTGTTCTCTTAAGTATTGTAAGTATCCATCCAAAACATGGCACAGTGAAACATTTGCAAAACAATGGAGAATGAACCTAAGTGTATCAATAACAATGAACTTGTACCACCTAAAATTAATGACATTTAGCTGTATCCCAAATTCAGGATACTTCCTGGGTTTCTGGAACAGCAGGTAATAGTAGCAGGGACTTGGATACAACCTCCTGGCAAGATCTTTATCCTGAGAAACAATAATCTTCCCCCAGCAGTTTTCTTGAGCCAGGGTATAGTTTGTAAAGAAAAACAGCAGCTTGTCATTTTGCAAAGCCATCTTTAACCTCTAGCAGAGGAGGATCCTTTGACAATTATGTATCTCTTCAGTGCTTCTTCTGGGTCAGAGCTGAAATTTGAATGTTCTCAATTATCTGACCCTATAAGGAAAACTAAAATCCTTGGTGTGGTGTTTCCAAGAGCACCAGCACAGCCTCAGTGGGAAAGACAAAAGGAAATGGGAAAAAAAAACGTGTTGTTCTTTATGTCTGTAGGCTAGGCCTACAGAAAATCCTGGAAAAAATAAGTGAATAAAACAGACCAGACATCTGATCACTCATGAAGTTTTGTGTATATCAATATGCATATATACACTTGTGTGTGTATGTCTATATACACATTGATACATACACAAATGCCAGCAATGCAATGTGTACGGCTGTAACACAAGTCAGGTAATCTCAATGAAAGAGAATGAGATGGCTTTTGCTGGAGGTGGAAGGGGGTGGGAGCTGCCACCTTTCGGAAAGGGATGTACAGGAAGGTATTTGAAAAATCTACTGAGACGTATAGTCGATTTAAACTGAGTCATGAATGATGATACACTTTCATCAAAGAGGGGACAGAAAGAAGGGTGTTACTGGTGGAGGTAATTGCAAGATCATTGGCTAAGATCTGAAGAAGCTGGGGAGTCCACTGGTAAAGCATTCCTTCCTCCCCACCAGTCTGGAGGCACACTGCGTGGTGATGAGTGCTTTTGTGCTAGTTGTGTCTTTAGGCAAGCTACCTCACCCGGCCAGTCTCCTTTTGGAAACTGTCAATTGAGGGTAATGGTACTCTGCTCATGGGCTTGCAAATGAAGATTAAATAAAATGTTTAGCATACAACCTAACTTAAGAGAAATATTCATTATGTGTTTATTATTATTATTATCTGGTTGGGAAACCATGAGGTGAAAGAAGGGTGGACTCAAGCTCATACAACGGGAAGGGCCTGATATACCAGGTTCCTAAGGAGGTTACATTCCCATTAGAATGAGAACTCGGGGGCAGAGACCATACCTGCCTCATCACTCAGAACATCCTGGAGTTCCTGGCCCAGGATGGCCACTTAAAAAAAATACTGAATGAATGAGTGAATGGTAAGGAAGTTGGACTTTTTTCTACCTGCTATTCCAGACCCACCATCAGAGGGTATTAAGGAGGGAAGTGATGTGGTTATTACAGACACAACCATGTGAAAGACAGGATGCAAAGGAGAAATGCCAAGAGCAAGGAGATGTGCTCACACTGCCCTGTTCCATGCAGTGACTATTGAGTACATTCTTGAAATGTTGCTGATTTTAATTGAGATTACTCCAAGTTTAAAAGTTTGGGCACACACAAAAAGAATGCAACCTTGTTCATATTATGCTGACATGTGGAAGTCATAAAATTTTAGATACATTGGGTTAAATACACATTATTAAAATTAATTTTACCTTTCTTTGTACCTTTTTTTAATTTGAAAATTTAAAACTACATATGTGGTTCACATGATACTTCTATTGGCTGGCCCTGGGCCACAAAGCCTGGACTAAGACAGTGACACAGGAAATAGACAATGCAAGATAGACATTAGAGATAGTTTGGAAGTAAACTTGACAGAACGTAGTGACTCCTTGGACACAGAAACTGCAGGAGGACAATGAAAGATGGAGAGGTTGAATTTGATGTCCTCAAGAGGAACAATCAAAGATGACCCCAGGTCCATGGGCAGATCAAATTTGACATCCAGCTGGAGATGGATTAATATGTGTGGAACTGGAAACTGAGCTCTGAGCTAGAGGTACAAAATCCAAGAAACTTACTTGTCTTTGCTGAAGCAATAAAATTCCCAGGCAAGTATCCTCCCAGACGCTGAGAGGCTATTACTACTCAAGGAATCATCCAGAGGGAGAAAAGAAGTGTATAGATAGCTAAGATTAAGCTAAATATGATACTAAATCTATTTTTACATAATCAGATCATCTACAAGGTTGTTGGGAACCGCCCTGCCTGGTTCCAGAAGCTGTAAACCCCCATGGGGTCGCTAAGTGGGTGACCTTTGGACCAGAAGCCACTAAGGAGACAAAGCTTACCTCCCTGGCAGGAACACCACTTCTGCTCCTTTTTCCATAACTGGACCCCAATGCTTGGTCAGTTAGCCAATGACAGGTAAGATTCCCCAAGGGGGGAATGACCTAAGCCAGGCACAATCATGTGGGAGGACCCCAAGGAAGGACTTTGGGGGCTACAGCAAAAAGGGGTGACGGACCCTCACCCCTCGGCTTTGACAAAGCCTGAGTCCTCATTCTGTCTACAAGAAGTCTCCTAATCTCTTGGTTGCGAGACAATGCCTTAAGCCTGAAACAGTGACAAAGGGCAGTGTAGCCCTGTGCTGGAAAAGGCAATCAGGCCTAAGAGAGAATGCGTAAAATCCTATGAGACCTACTTTGCTAGGACCCTCAATTTAAATGATAAGGGTCCAAACCTGAAATGAGCTTGTTTCCCCAAAGTTTCATGGCCCTTCCCCTTTGAGAGATCGGCCACCTTTCCTCCCCAAGAAGATCATGTCTTGGTAGACTTATTCTCATTCGTGGTGGATGGGGAGCTCTGCCAGCAAAGCT